CAAAAATTCTAAAGTTACAAAACATACAGCATGAAGTAAAAGTAATAACCAAATATATGATATCCAAATGTAATATTTTGTTTCAAATTTCGGCTATCGACTAACCCGATTCCATTGGAAATCCTGACTCTTTAGGAAAATCCGAACATTTTCCAAAATTATTCCGGAATTTAGTGGAATCTGACTCAAATCTAAAGAAAACTTAATATTTTCGGGTTCCCTCACATCATTGTTTTTTTCAAATGGAACTATATTTGCTATGTTGTTCACTCATTCGAAACTTACAATGTAGTACCATTGTGGTACTCTACTTTTGGTAATTCTACTTTTGGTAATTCTACTTTTTTACACACTTTACACACTTTACATCTTTCCTAACCAAACTTTGATATTTGACAGCCACTAACAATAAGGCATATAAATGGAACTGTAAATGTTAAAACCCTTCCGTTCCAAGATTCATACTTCGATTATGATAAAATATTGTACGAATATTCAAAATTTATTCAAACGAATCGTTGAAATCTATTTCTTCCATAACACATACGTACTTCTCTTAAAAAAGAGTTATTATGTTCAGAAATTACTATATTTCAAATTCAATGTATATTAGTTTAGTACATGTAATATATGTTAGTATATTCCAAATTTTTTCACAAAAGGCAATAATCCGATTTTTGAATATTTCATCAATAGTGCGATTGTCGTAAATCAAACTTTTGAACTATTCTCATAAATAAAAGTAGAAATTATGATTGAAACTCTGCATCTAACAGTTATTTTGTTAATATTGGATATAAACAAAAAATGTTTATTTCTCGGAAAGGAAGAGTTTTGAATATTTTCATCACACTGAAGTCATTCAATAATTTCCTTTGTAACAGTACAATATGATGATTTAAAAATAATTTAAAAAATTCATCTATGTCTTAGACACCTTATAAACTTATTATTTATAATTTACAAATGACGTATAATAATAGCATAATAATAGTTATAATATTGGTAAATGATATAATTAGAAGTATAAATATTAGTAAGTATATA